GGGACTCGATCCAGGGACTCCAGGATCATGACCTGAGCCGAAGGCAGTCGCTTAACCAACTGAGTCACCCAGGCGCCCTAAATAAATAAAATCTTTAAAGAAAAAGTAATTTTGTTGCCTACAACACTCTGCAGATGATTTGTGGTCTGTGATTCCACTGTGTACATGCATAATACACTTATGTACGTGTATACATATATATAACATGTTATTATCAAATGTGGATTTCAGAAATAAGACTGTCTTTCCGATGAATACTTAATTATCAAATGCTTTTCTGGGTGCCTGGGTGGCTCAGTCGTTAGGCGTTTGCCTTCGGCTCAGGTCATGATCCCAGGGTCCTGGGATCGAGTCCCACATCGGGCTTCCTGCTCGGCGGGAGGCCTGCTTCTCCCTCTCCCACTCCCCCTGCTTGTGTTCCCTCTCTTGCTGTCTCTCTCTCTGTCAAATAAATAAATAAAATCTTTAAAAAAAAAATGCTTTTCTAAAGTAGATAATAAGATATTTAAAAAGGGTTTATTTCAGGTAGTAGTTGTATTCAGTAATTTTCTAATTTTTATTTCTAATGTATTGAAATATTTATGCAAATAATTATGTGTGGCCTGTTTCTGACTTTTGGCTGCTTATTTACGTATGGTTCAGCCATAAAATATTTACTGAGCACCTGCTATGTACCAAACTGTGTTCTGAATCCTAGTGGTACCCAGTGAATACTGATGGTCTGATTCTTTTAAGTTTTATATACAGATCCTGCCTTTTAAAAGTGTGATTATTTTTATTTTTCGATTACCTTCTTCAGATTCAGTGGTATGAATTTACTGATTTGGATGTTTTGAACTTACAACATAACATCATGTTGAACTAAAGAACATGTAAACGAGTGACTTATAAAATCAAATCATTTTTATTCTCTAGGTATTATTAACCCAAAGAACCCAAAGGAAGCTCCAAAGTCCTTTAGTTTCGACTACTCCTACTGGTCTCACACCTCGGTGAGTATACTTATGGTGCAGTATAATAGAACAATGCAGGTTGTGAACAGTTTTGAAAGAGCTTGAAGGTCCAGATGGAGTACAGAGATGACCAACACCTAGGAAAATGGAGAGAGCAAGGCCCTTTGCAGTATCCTGCTTAGTAGAGGACCCCAAATCTTGTTGGCTTCTAGGGATTGTTCCTGAACTACAGTTTGCATTTGCTTCTCTTCATTACATGTTTTTAGTTTTTTGGGGTTTTTTTTCTGTTTTGTGCTGGAGTAGGAGAGGTTTAAACTACTGACAGAGCCTGATGGCCAACAAAAGGGCCTGTGAAGGGGGTTGGACAACATTTGTCACTGAAAGCTAGGTTTACTGAGAAATAGCTATACTACCTGGAGTGAGTACAGGGAAGTATTTTTATATGTGGACTTGACCTCTGAGCTTTTAGTACCATTTTCCATTTAAGAAAATTTTATTGCACATTTCTGTGAATGGAAGAGTGATACTTTTAAGGTTATGGAAAGTGACATGTAATCAAGTGTTCATGTAGCTATTTTTATGTATGGCTGAGCTGGATGACTGTGTGTGTGTGTTTAATAAGAGAAAAATAAGCTATGTGTAGGAGGGACTTAAAAATTTTATAATATATTTTAATAATTGACTGTTGAGATTCCAAACACTTGAAGTTATTATAGCAGTAATCAAATAAGCGTAGGAAAGTATACGAATAAAATGTCATTTATTTTTTCTTTTAATTTTACAGCCTGAAGATCCCTGTTTTGCATCTCAAAACCGTGTGTACAATGACATTGGAAAGGAAATGCTCTTACATGCCTTTGAGGGATATAATGTCTGTATTTTTGCCTATGGGCAGACTGGTGCTGGGAAATCTTATACAATGATGGGTAAACAAGAAGAAAGCCAGGCTGGCATCATTCCACAGGTAAGAAAACAAAAAACAACAAAAGACCTCTGTTTAATATTACTCTTAGTCTTTGATTGCTGTAACAGTTATTTTTATTTAGCAAAGATTTATTCAGGGACTATCATATGCAAGGCACAAAAACAAATCACTTGTTCCTTTCCCTCAAAGGAGCTAATAGTATGACGTGTATACATGTCTGTCTTTAAAGGTGGGGAAGTTGGCATTCTGTAAAGGTTTTGCTGTATACCCTTGTCTGGGTATTTTATCTTTTGAACAGTGTTACCAGCTTCTTAAAAAAAAATGGTAGTATATAGCAGGCTTTGTTCTGAATCCTGGGGACGCCTGATCGGTGTTGTTGGTCAAATTTTTTTTCCCATGTCCCATATATAGTTCATCTTTTAAGCGTGTGATTATTTTTTAGTTTTTTGGTTGCCTTATCAGAGATATTTTCCTTTTATCTTAATAATTTAATACTATCACGTTAAGCTTGAACAGTCTGAGAATTCTTTTTTTTTTTTTTTTTAAGATTTTATTTATTTGACAGAGACAGTGGGAGAGGGAACACAAGCAGTGGGGAGTGGGAGAGGGAGAAGCAGCCTTCCCACTGAGCAGGGAACCCGATGCGGGGCTCAATCCCTGGACCCTGGGATCATGACCTGAGCCGAAGGCAGACGCTTAATGACTGAGCCACCCAGGCGCCCCAGTCTGAGAATTCTTAAGAGCAGTGTGTTTTAACCTTGTGTTGTTTCGAATGGAGAAGGGTTGTGACATAGGTATTTAGAAGGAACTTCCCTCATTAATAACAGAAATGTGGTTTGCTTTTATTGATGATATTTGGAATTAATTTTAAAGTGTTTTTTGTTGTTTGTTTTCTTACTATAGGCCTAGTGTGACCTCTCTGTATTCTGAGATACATAAGAGAGCAATAGCTGGGGCGCCTGGGTGGCTCAGTCGTTAAGCGTCTGCCTTTGGCTCAGGTCATGATCCCAGGATCCTGGGATCGAGCCCCACATAGGGCTCTCTGCTCGGCGGGAAGCCTGCTTCTCCCTCTCCCACTGCCCCCTGCTTGTGTTCCCTCTCTCGCTGTCTCTCTCTCTCTGTCAAATAAATAAATAAAATCTTTAAAGAAAAAAAAAAGAGAGAGCAATAGCTACTTTTTCTTTTTTTTTTTTTTTAAAGATTTTATTTATTTATTTGAGAGAGAGAATGAGAGACAGCACGAGAGGGGAGAGGGTCAGAGGGAGAAGCAGACTCCCTGCCGAGCAGGGAGCCCGATGCGGGACTCAATCCCGTGACTCCAGGATCATGACCTGAGCCGAAGGCAGTCGCTTAACCAACTGAGCCACCCAGGCGCCCAATAGCTACTTTTTCTATCGGATTATTGGACTATAATTTTAAATTCAGCTGTATAATTGAAATGCTTAACTATCAGTAAAAATTAAGAATTTTTCAGAAAAAATTGAATATACTGGCATATTTTCTTCTGTAAAAAATATATGTCAATATTAAGACATATACTTGGGAATTGTCCTTCTATATATATAGGAATAGCAATAATTATAATAATAATTAGAGAAAATACTGTGTAGCATTCACCATGTGCAAGCACTGGTCTAAGTGTTTTACAGATATTTGCTCAGCTAATCCTCCTAGTTTGATCCTAAGAAGTAGATGCAGTTGTTACCTTTATTTTATTATTTTATTTATTTCCCTCATTTTAAAGATGAGGAAACTGAGGCACAGAGAGGTCATGTCACTTGCCCGAGGGAGTGGCAGAGCCAGAATCCAAATGCAGGCAAGGTGGTTCTGGAGGCTTTGCTTTTACAACTATATAATACTTCTTTAGGAATGAAACAATTTTTTGTAGATTATAGCAAGTTATACTAAACAGTCCTTTTATTCCATCATCACACTTAGTTTCTCCTTCCTTCTCCTTTAATTTGTTTTTGTGTAATTACATATATATCTCTTTTCTGGTAGAATTTTGGAACATTTTATTTTAATGCAAAAGCATTAATTTTTGAAAACGGGATTATCATTTAGAAACTGCCATTTATAATAAATTTTAAATTCTATTTAGACTTGTAGAGAATCACATACAGTTCATTTTCCAAATCTGTATTGATTGCCTAAACATTAAATGTATACCAAATGAAAATTCAGCAGAATTTTATTAAGTATTCCTATTAAAATATCACATATTTTGGATAAATTCAAAGGATGGGGAGAGTGAAATTTTGTGATTTTTCCTGATCTAGAAAAATTAATGTTTTCTATTGGAAATGTCACTATGAGATAGAGTAACCTCTTATAAAGGGCTTGGAATCTTTTTTTTTTTTTAAAGATTTTATTTATTTATTTGACAGATACACAGTGAGAGCAGGAACACAAGCAGGGGGAGTGGGAGAGGCAGAAGCAGGCTTCCCGCTGAGCAGGGAGCCCGATGCGGGGCTCGATCCCAGGACCCTGGGATCATG